CACTCTACCACTTGAGCCACAGCACCACTTCCGGCTTTTTCTGCTTATGTGGTGCTGAGGAATCGAACCCAGGGCCTCAAGCATGCAAGGCAAGCGCTCTACCACTGAGCCACCTTCCCAGCCCCTCAAAAGGTTTCTTATGCAGTCTCTGGCAGCAGAGCCCCAGATCTCAGAAAGTATTAAGCTACTAAATCTGTTCTAGAAACTCACTAAAACAACTATGGCATGGGGGGGGGGCTGTTTCAGTGATAAAAGCTAGATATTTATGTCAAAGCAGTGCATGTAATTTCAAGAAAAACCAAGTTACATTTGTGAGGGTGTGAACACTTACATAAATTTGGATAGAAACTGCTGCTGCTTAGGCTTCTACTCCTGCCCTGTGTTTATGTATAGGACACTGTAGATCTCTGAAGAACAACTTGTAGGCACACCTTCCTTTTCTCCTAAAGCCTAAAGAAAGCAAGAGTGCATATATTCTGTCAGCTTCACTCATCCTTAGAGGTGGGAACTCATACCAGTTGAATGGCTATCAAAGTGGCACTGAAGTGTTCGACAGGAGCCAGTGCTGGTGCCTCATGGAGTGAAAAATCAAGAATGAGGCAAGACATTTGTACTTACTGCACTTGGAGACTGAAGCTGGAGGATTTTTAGTTTGAGACCAGCCTGAGCTATAAGAAGAGACCATGTCTCAAAACAACATAAGAGAGCCAGATGTATTACATGCACCAGGTTCTGGAGGTTCTAGCCACAGTATTGGGGGGAGGGGAGAGAGGAAGAAGGAGCATTCTGATGGGCAGAATCTGTTGGAGTTGGGAGAAAACTTGTTTTAATCCATGGCTTTCTGTACCTTGTCTAGAGGTCGGCTTGGTACCATTGTCTAGGGTAAAGTACTTTGGCCTTAGGTTGTGCCTCTGCTATTTAACTTGGTCACTGTGCAAGATGGTTGCATAGCCAAGCACCAGTATCTCATGCCAGTAATCCTTGTTACTCAGGTAACTGAGTTGTGGAGGGTCTCAGTTTGAGGCCAACATGGACAGAAAGATCTGTTGAGACTCCATCTCCAAAAATAACCACCAAAAAAAAGCCAGTTTGGAGGTGTGGCTTAAGTGGCAGAGCACCATCTGAGCCAGTTTGAGGCTTTTGAGTTTAAACACTGGTACACACAAAACAAAAAGAAAAAAGATTGCTGTGTAGGCATATCTTGAATACTGGTGGTCCTTACTGCTGGAACTGAAACAGGCATCTGTTGTCGATTATCTCAGCATTGGCCCTAATGGTGCTGTTTCTGAAGGTTTTTCCAGAAACGTATATGCTAGTTCTTGATCATGGGCAGGTGAAGCAGTGCTATTCAGGGAAAGAAAAGAGAACTCTAGAAGAGCCCAGCCTACTGCCTGGTTCCTCCTCAGAGATCTAACGGAGCTATCCCAGTTTGCTGAGAGAGAGGAGAGAGAAAGAGAGGTGGGGGGAGAGAGTTCATGAGTGTTCATGTACAGAGAAGGGTAGGCGGAGAAACTGTGTTGATTGAGTATGGGGCAGCTGTTCAATGGGCGAGCTTGGGCTGCAACAATAATTGACCCTGAGGAGTAGGGTGTGGGCTGAGACAAGAACAAATATGGGCCAGGGTGCCTAAGCTCAGCTGGCACAATGGGTTAAAGTCTTCCCTTTCGCTGGCGCCTTCTAAGTCTGCTACTGGGAGCCCTCAGGGGACTGGCCGTGGGTTCTCCTATTGCGGTGTTGGAGGGAAGGAGCCTGGGCGGGGTAGCAAAGCTCCCTCCCTCAGCAGCACATCCTCCAATCGTGAGGAGAGCAGCCACTGGACACACCCCCTCCGGGTGCTGCAGCAGAACGGCTGGGCCCTCTGCCGGGCTGGCTCACTCAAGCTCAGCTCCCCCTCCTGCCATCTTCCGTTGCAAAGCATTTCTGGGAGCTGCATGTGGGTGACGCAGCAGCATTGTTCACAGGCACAGGAAGCCGCGGCTGAGCTGAAGGGCTTGAGAAGGAGCTCAGAGCACTGCACGCTGCTCTACTACCCTGACGGGTTAGAACCGGACTGCCCTGCCTTAGGTGCTCTGGGAGATTCTAGGATTTTGAAGTAAATCAGGATTTACCTAGAGGCAGAAAACCCAACTCCTTCCGTACAACTTCCAACATAGAAAACAAAACAAAGACGCTGGGGAAACTTCACCCAAGAGCCTCCGCAGCTCCAGAGCAACGAGAAACACAAGGTCAGGCGGTCGGGCGGTCGGCAAACCCTTTCTGGTTTGGGGTGTGTATAACTGTAGGGACTTTGTCTCTGCACAGAGGCGGAAGAACGGCTGCTAGGCGAGTCCAGGACTTAGTGTTACTTGTGCTGCTCTGCTGTCGTTGCACTTGTTCCCTCGCTGGTGGGATGTGCTTTGGAACTGGGTCGCTTGGCTTCGGGAAATCCTTCTCCCTTCTGCCCTGACGCCTTCAGTCCTCTTTCCCTTTCTGTGTTCTATGGGGTGTGGGCCTGTGTTTGAATCTTCTCCCAAATGCCTGGAGCTTAACTAGGCGTCAGCTTTTCCACACTCCACCCCTGCTCCCCCATCCCAAACCTCCCCTGGTGAAGGTTGGTGGCTTCTTTATATGGTTTCTCATAGGGCCTCAGCTAGAGTCTGCCTTTTTTGATGAAAGCAGTGTGTGCTTGGTTAAATGGCCCCAGTAAAATAAGGCTTGGAAGGAAATCTGCATTTCCCTCCACTCCCACACATAACCCCAGTAACTGAGCCGTGCATGTGTGAACAGCTGCCCCCCCCCCACGCTGCTAACACAGTTTCTCCGCCTACCCTTCCCTGAACACCCCCCCCCCTTACAGGTAGAATTATTAGACAGCTTTTGGTGAGCAGTAAAGTTCCTTTTCTGTTCTATCAAACAATCACAGATCTTTCTGTGTAATCTGTTTTGCTGAAAGTGGAAAGTCCCTGTTTGTGGACAGAGCTCAGTTCTCTCCGGCAGAGGAAATGGGCAGAGTCCTACTCCACGCAGTGCAAAGTGGGGGAGGGGAGCTATGCACTCAGCACACATTTTGAATGAACCTGAAATTTTCACTTTAGGGAAATTAGGAGCCTAGACTATAGCAATGTCTCACATGCTACCACACCCTGCCTTTTTACCCCCACCCCCACCCCCTCCCCGTGCAATGTGGTGCTAACCGGAGGCTCCAGTGTAGGATACCATAGCAACTTGAAGTAAATAAAACGGCTGAAATGGGATTGGTTTGGGGGAAGAAGGGAATATCTGGAGATTTGGCAGAAGATCTTGTTAAGGAACTTCTCAGGATATTAAAGTTTCTTTAGTTAAAGATAAAAAATCCTGGAATTGAAAAATCCTTTGTACAACTACTTAATAAAAGTAAATTAACATTTTAAATTACAAAATTTCAAAAATATATAGTCATTTAAGAAGTGATTCTTGCCTGTAGTTCTTGCTACCTATAATGCTGATGGCTGAAGATCATGGTTTGAAGCCAACCCAGCCAAAAAAAGTGTGAGATTCTTTTTTTTTTTTTTTGGGTCCAGTCGTGGGGCCTGAACTGTGGTCCTGAGCTCTTCAGCTCAAGGCTAGCGCTCTACCACTTGAGCCACAGCACCACTTCCGGCTTTTTTCTTTTTGCTTATGTGGTTCTGAGGAATCGAACCCAGGGCCTTAGGCATGAAAGGCAAGCGCTCTACCACTGAGCGACCTTCCCAGCACCAGTCTGTGAGATTCTTATTTCCTATTAATGACTAAAAAGCCAGAATTGGAGTTATGGCTCAAGCAGTAGAATGCCAGCCTTGAGCAAAAATGCTAAGAGATAGTGTCTGAGTTCAAACCCCAGTATTGGCATACAAACAACAACAAAAAGATTTGTCCCAAGTTGAAGATATAATTCACTAAAATGGCAGTTTCATATTGTGGTATTTTCTAATTCATCAATTGATCAGTTAAAGTCCTAAGAACTCTTGTGCCTAAGACTGTTCCTGCATAATTAAAAAGGCAAATAGCTGAATGTATATGTATGTGTTTCTAACTAAAAGGTGGGTATAATTATTTCTGTAATCAGCCTTAGATCAGTGTTGAATCAATATATTAAGGTTCTGCTGTTGTCTTATTAACACAGTGCAGTATCAGCCAATCTTTCTTGGTTTGGTTGCTTTGTTTTGATTTTCGGTGGTACTATCACAAGACAAGTACTCTACCACTTAAGTGACGCTTCCAGCCCTTAAGCTAGTCATCTTGATGTCCCTTTGCTAATATCGACAACATCACTAGCTGACATAGAAAAGTAAAGAAACAATATAAAGTTTTACTGTTCTGTACAGAACTGCGTAACAACACTTGCCACAATAGCTAGATGCTTTGATATGTTAGAGGGAACAGGCACATAATGTTAGAAGCAAAGTTGAGTTGAAGTCTTGGGGCTGGAACTGTGGCTCACGTGACAGAATGTCTGTGTAGCAAGGCTCTGAGTTCATTCCCCAATACTGCTTTTTAAAAAAACGGGGAAGGTGCCTGGAAAGGTGGCTTAGTGGTAGAGCGCTTGCCTTGTATGTATGAGGCCCTAGGTTCAATTCCTCAGCACCACAGAAGCAGAAAAAGCCGGAAGTAGCTCCATGGCTCACTCAAGTGGTAGAGCATTCACCTTGAGCTGAAGAGCTGAGGGACAGCC